GATGAGACAGGAATGAGCAGGAGCATTGCTGAGTCTCTGGTGGTGGCTGGGAACAGCCCCCCCATTACGGTTGTTCTGGGGAGCAACAGAAGGATAACATTGTGGGGAAACTCACGTCGAGGAATAGTGACTGTCAGGCCGGCCCCTGTCCCAGATGCTCACAGCCAGAGCCTGGGTCCCACCCCGCCCTCGCCCACGGCCAGGCCCTGGCAGCTGTGCGCAGAGCTTTCGGCCGCTGACGCAGACCCCCCTCGTGACCGGTCTGTGGGCGGCGGGGTATGTTGTGAAAGAACCCCTCCCCTGTTCCTGTGCTGGAGGGGAAATGGAGGTGCCCCCTCCCCCCAAGAAACAGCTGCCTCCACCCTGGTATGGGCAGCCCCTTGTTTGGAAGGAAGGGGGACCCTGGACCCTCTTTCTCCCAGAGTGCCTTGTCTCTCCACTGCTCCACTTTTCCTGAAGGCCACGTCTGTCCACATTGGGAAATTGCAAATAGTTTACATGGGAAATGTCAGCTGCCCACATATGAAAATATACACATCATTAAGGCCTAAGTGCTTGCGTCTGGAGATAGAGCAGCAGTCTCCTGGGCTGACCTTTTGTTCGCTGATGGAACCACTGCTAATGAGCTCGGAGCTCCTCGGTGGGATGTTTTCATATGTTGAAGCGAAGCATATGGTGGCCATTAGCCTGGGGGTGGGTGTAGGGGTGCATTATACAAATAGCATTTGCCCAAACAGGCAGAGTCCACTGCACTGCATTCTCCAGCCCCGTGGCCTCCAAGAAGGGCTTGCTCCTCAGGGCCAACGTCACATCCCCTCACCCTATCTGAGAAGGACAGTGTGTCCTTGGAGGGCACGGTGATGGTGGGGATAAGGCTCTGTGACCAGATTGCCATGGGCCAGCAGTGTGACCGTGCAGGGGTCCTTCCCTCCTGGGTCTTTTCTGTCAGTCCCCCATCTGTGCCACGAGTGGGTTCATCAGCTGGGCCCTAAGGGGTCTTCCCAGGAGAGCCCTCTGCGATCTCCTCCTCCCGCTGCACCGTCTTGGGTCCCGAGTCTCTGAACAAGTAGAGGGTGTGTGCTTCCAGAAGGCTCCGAGAGTGACCCCAGGATTATCGACCTCTCCCTCAGGGCTCCCTCCCAACGGATCTCTCATTATTCCCTCACCTGAGGCCTGAGATGAGTCACTAGGTCATTATGTCCCCCGTGCCACCTGGTCTTAGAGGCCTGCGGGCTGGTCTACCTGTGGGTGTCAGTGCAGTGAAGCACTGGCACAAGGGGCTCAACAGCGCCACCTTGTGGACTAACCGCCACACTGGCCGAGGCTGGAATGACCTGGTGGGTGCAGGCAGAGCCCACGCCTGGGGCCCCCAGGGCACCGAATCGTTCCTGGTCGATACTGTGCCTGAATATGGTAGAGGGTTCCATTTAAAAAAAAAAATTATTGATTTCAGAGAGGGAGGGAAAGGGAGAGAGAGAAACAACAATGATGAGAGAGAATCACTGATCGAGAATCACTGATCGGCTGCCTCCTGCACGCCCCCCACTGGGGATCGAGCCTGCAACCCGGCATGTGCCCTTGACTGGAATGGAACCTGGGACCCTTCAGTCCGTAGGCCGATGCTCTATCCACTGAGCCAAACTGGCTAGGGCAGAGGTTTCCACTTTGATGGAGCAGAGATGACAGAGGTCTGGCCAAGGCCACATGTCCGAGGGCAGGGTCACTTTCTTCTCTGCAGGAGGGGACAGAGCTCTTTGGTCAGTGCCCCGGGCTACATGGCCTTGTCCCCCAGGCATGCCTTGCTGGCTTAAGCTGTCCCAGGAGTTGACCACAGAGCCCTCCTAAGAGCAGCTCGGGTCCTCAAGACTGTCGTCAGAGGGGACTTTCCGGTGGAGCTGGGCAGACTGGTCACATCGAGGTTGGCCAGCTGGTTAGTTTCGGCTGCCCAGGACCATCGGGAGGCAGGCATTCAAGGTGGGGCCTCCAGCGGGAGAGAAACCCCGACCCAGTCCCTCCTGGTCCGGAAGCCATGCCCCCAAGACTTCATGCCACACATTTCAAAGGACTTAGGCCCCTAAAGGGACAGCGTCCTTTCAGGCCAAGGCCTGCAGGCTGGTGCTCCTTGAGGAGACCATCTGGTGACCAGAGAACAAGTGTCACTTCTAGCCCTGCTGGTGGGAAGGGGTCCCAGGACCCGGTGGACTGTCTCAGAGACCTTCCGGCTGCTTTTCACCCTGTAAACACCTAAGGCCTTGAGGCTCTTGCTGTTGGACATGGAGGAGGATGGTGCCGATCCCTCCTGCCCACCTTGACCCTCAGCTTCCTCCCAGAGGGACGGTCCCTGGTAGAAGGAGCCGATGTGCTGCCCAGCCCAGCTCTCCTGCTTCCTGAGTCCCAGTGCAGGGAGGTGGCATTGCTGCCAGAGCCCCCCTGGCCTGTAGGGTACACCCCACCTTCAGCCCACCTCGCAGGGCCCCTGGGACCAGGAGGGAAAGGGATCTGAAACTGTCTTCAAGGACCCGGGGAGGGGGGGACTGTGGTTGCTGAGGCCTCAGAGCCTTTTCTTACGTGAGGGGGCACACTCGCTATGTGGAGGCCCCGGGCGCCTTCCTAACGGTCTCCCCCCGAAATTCACTTCTCTGACCGGAGCGGAAAGACCAGGCCCCCTCTGGTTCCGGGGACACAAACAGCGAGTGTCCCCCTGAAATGCCCTCTGAGCTGCTGCTCCTTCACCCCTGGCGTCTGGGTTTCCGTTTCTGACTTAAGCTGGCCAGCAGCTTCTCACTCCCGTCTTATTGGCAAAGGTGGCATTCCCTGGAGTCACTTGAAAGGGGTTTGGTTGGAATCCTTAATCTCTTCATGTCGAGCCAAGGACTGAATTTAAGCCCCTGGTTGTGACACTAAACACATTCTTACCTGCTCATTAACTCCCGTGGGGCTTCGACTGTGGGCAGTGTTCCCAGAGCCCCCCGGCAGCCAGTGCCAAAGAATGGGAGTGGTGTGGCTGAGAAGGCAGCCCAGGTGGCTGTCCTCAAAGGCAGGTGGGAGGGACCATGAGGGGAGGGAGGCCCGAGGCCAAATTCTGCTCTGCCTCTGCCCCATCCTCCCTGAAGCCTTTCCCAGATGACCCCACCCCGTCAGGATCTCCTTATCTCGGCCACCACCAGCTCTGGGCCAGCCACCAGGCCCTTCAGACCAAGGCTGCCCCAGCCACCAGCTCGCTTCCTGAAGCAGATTTGCCAGTGGCCTCGGGTCTGTGCTGATATTCCCTTGCTCTGGAGTTACTGGTCCCCAATAAACTCAGCTGCCAGATTCCCAAGAAAGTTCCCCAAGGATTAGAAGCAAAAAAACACTCAACCATCAGTTCCCAAGTCTTGAAGGACCCAAAGGTCATCTCTGGGGCAGCCCCTTCCTATTGGAAGGGAGGCGGGGAGGCCCCAGATGGCCAAGGGCAGAGGTCGGACCAGAGCTCGGGGCTCCAGCCTCTTGGTCGAGCATCTTTTCTGCGAAAGGAGCAACAATGAGCTCCAGAGACCAACACTACTGGTTGCTCTTCTGCCATCGCATTAAGTTGTCCATGTGGGGACGGAGGGTGGGAGGGAGCCACCACCACCCAGGGTTGGCGACAGCAATCATCTGGGAGATGCTCTGGGATGGTGGTGTGACTGGCTCTGTCTGCACTGGGAGTTTGGGGGGCATTTGCCGTCACAACAGCTCCCCCCACACCTGAGGCTCCACCCACCCGGGGTGGGGAGGCCCCAGGACAGGGGAAGACCTGCAGCGAGGGCAGGGCCTGGGAGAGGAAGAAGGAAGGAACGAACGTGGCATTCAGAACAGTAGGGACTAGAAGATGAGCCACTGGTGTCATTCACCAGGGCCATGCCAGGCAGCTCCGCCTCCACCCTCAGGATCAAACCCCCCAGACACCCCCCGATGGGCTTAGCAGAACAGTCAGCTCCACAGTCACATGTCAAGAGCTGGGCAGAGAAAGCAAGTCTTTCCTAGCTCAACATCTTTGGAAAAGATGCGTCTACACCCCATCTTTCTGAGCCCACTCCCTGCAATTTTCTCAATTATTCCTGTAATTTATTAAAAACCCACCTCGGGGCCCAGCTGGTGAGTGAGCAGCTGGTGGAGGGTGACCGGCGCGGGGAGTGGTGGGTGTGAGAGGGGCTGCCTTCCCAGCTGGCTGCTGCTCCCGGGTAGGACGCTGGAGCTGTCCTTCAGACGTGAAATGCTCAGGCCAGGCAGCTTAACCGAGGAGGAGAATGAAATGACAGAACATTCATGGCACACTTTTCTGCTCCTTGCCAGGATCTGGGCCAAGGGTTTGACCTAGTGGTTTTATTGATTCCTTCTGGGAGAAACCATTATTTCTGATCATCTTCCTGATCACTGAGGCTCAGCAGTTAGGCCAAGGGCCCCACAGCTACAAGTAACAGATGTGGGATTCGCACCCTGGTGTGTCGGTGCCAAAGCTATAGATCATAGAGCTGCTGAGCTCCCCTCCCCTCGCTGCTATGTCGTCCTGTTCGCTTGCCCTTTACCCCTTCCAGATCCTTTTGTACGTGACCTTGAGGCTGGGCAGGGGTTCATCTCAAGTCTGCCCCCTGAGGAGACAGCCCCGGGGGGGGGGGGGGGGCTCGCCAATGAGCCGGGCTTGATGCACAGCTCCTCACACCAGGAGCACTCCCACCTCATTCAGTTCTACCGCAGACCCAGGACACGGGTCATCATGGTCGATGTTCTGCACACGAGGGCGGTGATGCTCAAAGGAGCCATGTGACCTCCAGGAGGTCACCCCCCTAACAGTGGCAGAGCAGAAAGCGGACCCTAAGTCTGGCCCCTGCACCACCTTCCGGCCCAGCCACCTCCCTGCAGCACAGGACACTGCAGGCTGCCCAGGGCCAGGGGTAGGCAGGAGGGGAAGACCACCCTCCCCTCACTAACCCAGCCGCCCTGCTCCTCCCCTCACTGACCACCTCTTCTCTTCCCTCCAGTCCCCAGTTTTCATCGCCCAAGTCGGTCGGGACCTGGTCTCCCAGACGGAGGAGAAGCTCCTACAGAGGCCCTGCAAAGAGCTCTTCTCGGCCTGTGCACAGTAAGTGCCCCAGCGGCTGCCTCCCTCCCTCCTGGCCCGGATGGCAGGCCCTCGGCGCCTCTGGCAGCCACACAGCTGCCTGGACGAGGGCTGCCCCCAGCTCCCACCTGGAGCGCTGGGCATGGGGGGCTGGTCTGCAGTGGCCAGGGCCCCAGCCAAGCCGCCCAGACATGTGTAGACTCCTTAAGAAGGGAAAAAGATACCAGGGGGCCGAGTCCAAAGAAAACATCTGCTTCAAAGGGTGTTGAAAGCAGTGGCTCTCCAGGCTGTTGAGACGGAGAAATGTGCAAAAATTTGACCCGATCTGGGTGGTTTGGAAATCCTTCCCAGGCCCCCCAAACCCCTCCGCTGCCACCAACCTGAGCCGGGGGGGCACTGCTGCAGGGGGGTGCCTCCTCTGACACCCTATCACCTCTGCAGGGCATACAACGACCCTCATGGGACAGGAGATAAGTCGGTGCCAGCGCTGTACCAATCAAGCCCCCGCAGACCCCCCACCACACTACAAAGGCTTAACACACACCTGTTCACGTGCCCACACACACCGCTCCCCATAAGCTGACAGGTGTGCACACACATACCTACATGCCAAGAGGCCTCTGGAGCCCGGCCACCCACACGGCTGGGTGAGTCTGGCACCTCGGTGTGCCCTTGCTCAGCCTCTGCACCGCAGACATCGACTGGGTGCCTGCTGCGTGCCTGGCACCATGCCTGGTGCTGGGGGTGCCATGGTGAGCAGGACCCAGCCCGGCTCTCAGAGCTCACTGGCAGGTGGGGGACAGGAAAGCCAGCACCCGTGCCCGGGCAGCGGGACGATGAGGACGGACACGAGGGAGGCCAGCTGGGGGCCAGCCCCGTGCTAGGTGCCGAGCAGAGCCCCCCACGAACAGGAACAAGCCTGGTTGCTGCCCTCTTAGAACTGGCCGAGGGTCAGGTCTGAAAATGGGTGAGGTCTCTGGGCTGTCCCCCTGAGGTCGTGGTCATCCTAACCCCCCACGTCAGCCCTGGGTTTCCGGTTTGGCAGGACACAGCCTCTAACGTGCATGTCCTCTCCGTTCCCCGGGTCCCAAGTGCCGGGCCAGGCTGGTCAGCATCGCCCCTTTTCAAAGGGGAGCAGCCCGTCCCTGCCTGCAGCCAGGTTCCCAGCCGGGGCCAGGCCCACCTCGGGTGACCAGTAAACGCTGCTGCAGGGATGAAATCTCCCTGCGGCTTTGCTGGTCCTGGACCCAGTTCAGAGCCTGGGCCCTCAGGGCCACATCCCCACTCGGCCCCCACCACCCACTATCTCAGAGTCCCTCCCCTGCACCCAACTAAGTCTGCCTCTGTTGTCATTTCAGCACCTGCCCCTTCTACAGAGAGATCTCCCTGACCCCAGGGACCTCCCTTAACTCTCATTCATAACGTGTCCCTGGCGTCATGTGTTTAGTATTTGTCACTTACCCAATCCCGATGCCACCTGAGTGCTCACGGCTGCCCCAGGCCACGTGTGCCTGTGGCAGGTGCTCGGGGCTGTGGGTGGGGCCAGCTGGGCAGTCTCCAACAACCTCCTAGGTCAGTGGTCGGCAAACTCATTAGTCAACAGAGCCAAATATCAACAGTACAACGATTGAAATTTCTTTTGAGAGCCAAATTTTTTAAACTTAAACTATATAGGTAGGTACATTGTTATTAACTTAATTAGGGTACTCCTAAGGCTTAGGAAGAGCCACACTCAAGGGGCCAAAGAGCCGCATGTGGCTCGGGAGCCACAGTTTGCCAACCACGGCCCTAGGATGACGGGGCCTCTGGCCCCTGTGTGTCTGCATTTCCAAAGCCTGAAAGTGGATGAGGCCGGGTGTTAACTGGCTGGACACGGCTCTGCCCATCTGCTGGAGACCAGGATTGTGAATGTTTCTGTCTGTGTTTCCCCCCCCCGAGCAGATCTGTCCACGACTACCTGCGGGGAGGGCCCTTCCGTGAGTACCTGGACAGCATGTATTTTGATCGCTTTCTCCAGTGGAAGTGGTTGGAAAGGTGAGTGCCGCCCTGGCGCTCCCCACACACGCGTGTGCCAGTGTGTGTGTGGGGGGGGGGCAGGTTTTCACCTGAGCAGTCGTATAAGAACCAGTTCCCTCCATGGGCCGACGGTCCCCATAACATGAACTGCCTCTCTCCTGTGTGTTGGTCTAGAAGCGCCCTGCCTGTGCTTGCTGACGTGTGCTTACCCACCGCTCACCCACTCAGGCACACGCACTCACAGCAGCTTGTTCTTTCTTTCTGTCCTTGGGAATTCTTCCTCCACCAGCAAGTGAAGAGCTGCCAGATCCTCTGATGAGCTGCACATCCCTATTTTACCCAATCGTCTCTTTCTTTAAAAAATATGTTTTTATTGATTTTAGAGAGAGGAAGGGAGAAGGAGAGAGAGAGAAAAATATTGATGATGAGAAAGAAACATTGATTGGCTGCCTCCTGCACACCCCCTACTGGGGATCGAGCGCACAACCCAGGCATGTGTCCTGACCAGGAATCGAACCATGACCTCCTGGTTCAACACTGAGCCATGCTGGCCAGGCAATAACAATATATTTAAAAATCAATCAATCAATCAATCAATCCACACTGAGCTGGTAGACATGGTGGGGGTGTCCTGTTCCACAGCCCAGAGTTCCCTGTGCCCTGAGGCCTGGCACGCATGCCATCTGGGCACGTGTGGGTGTAGAGCAAGGAGCCATCCTGACTCTGCATGTCTATTAACACCTTTGCTGGCCGAGTGCCCTGCAGATGCCCAGAGAGCACCCTGCCCGTCAGCCACTGGAGGGCGTGTCTCTCCACCCACCAACGGGGATGGCAGAGTGAGAAGGGGTCCGCCCACGACTGCCGCTGCTCACCTTGCACCTGCGGGAGGGACTGAGGAAGAAGGGCTGGCCCCACATCCTGCTGAGGGCATGGAGCCCCAGCCTGGGTCTGAGCCCGGCTCGGCCTCCTCTGGAGGGACCTCGGGAGGGCTGCTCGCCTCTCCACGCCTCGGCTTCATCCTTCAGGGGGGAAAATAACAGTGCCCGCCTTGCAGGCTTGGGGCGAGGAGGAGATGAGATTGGCAGCACGTGCCCAGGACAAGGTGCGTACTCGCCAGAGGTCAGCCGTTTGGCCCCAGGAGTAAACTGACACAGTTGTGGTCGCCCCGAGATCATCAGTGTCAACGTCAGCGTCAGCGTGGCGGCTTCCTCGCACGTCTGGGATTGGAAGGAGCAGCGACCCTCGTGGGCAGCGGTGGGACGTATCCATCGAGCCCCACCCCACTTCCGGAAGCCCTGAGCTGTGTCATACAGGCCCGGTCTGCACCCACTTTCCCCAGAGCTGCAGTGTGGGGCCAGGACGCCAAACGTGGGCCCCTGCCTGGACTCCAGTTCCGTGACCTTGGCAGCTCATCCCACCTCTCAAAGCCTAAGAGTTCTCGCCTGCAGAATGGAGACGGCAATCATCTCGCTTCTCAAGGCAGGTGTGAGGATTGCATGAGTCCATGTACAAGGTGCTTCGAGTAGTGGGAACTGTTACCATAGAGACACACAGTCTGACACACAGCAGCCTTCAGAAGCCTTTGGATAAAAGTGCCTTTCAATAGCTTTGTTTTACTGAAGATGCAAGGCTCAGAGAGGTTGATGGATTGGCCCTGGGTCACACAGCAAGAACCTGGCGAGGCTGGAACCTGAACTCCAGGTCCCTCACTCAATTCCTTCTACCCAGCACTCCCGTTCCAATGGGATCCTGTAGCTGCGGCCACTGACTTTCATTTTACTTGTCTGCAAAGAGCACAGGAAACGGAGAAATGGACTTTTTAAATCGGAGAAGCTAAGCCCTTGCACTAAATCGTTGACACCAGTACGTCAGGACACTGGCCTAGAAATGTCCTAAATGACTGACAACCCTCTTCTTCCCGCCCCCCCTCCCCACCCGCTACCAAGACCGTGGCCCCTTAGTGGGATACTGTTGAAATATTAAAGGGATCTTTTTTCCCTCCCAAGGTTAACCAAGAAATTCCTCGGAAATTGTATTCCACTTATTCCCCCCAGCAGAGGAGCGCTGCGGTAATGTCGCCTGGCTGTCTGTTCTCCATGTATCGTTAACGGTTGGGCCTGGACGCCTTCATGTGGTTTCGAGGGCGGCTGTAGGACACGCTCCCGGGTGATAGCGGACGAGGCGCCTGGCAGGGAGCTCCAGGCCCGGCCGCTCCTGCAGAGGAGAGAGACAGAGGGATAGAGGGGCAGCCCTGTGCTGCCGACGGGGACCCCGCTGCCCAAGGACATGCCAGGGAGAGTGAGGCACAGACATGAATGCCGGGAGCGCCCCGGGTCTCGGGGACATCCTGTGAGAACAGGGACGGGATTTCCAGTAAAACCCAAGTCCGCTCCAGGACCCAGCAGCCAGAAGAGTTCCGTGGAAGATTCATTCAGGAGCTGCCGGCGGGTCACTGTCTTTCTTGAGCTGACCCAGGTCGTTGGCCCAATTCAGTCTCGTGCCAACCTCAACCCTGGTCAGGACTCTTGGGGTGGGCGTGGGAGTTGCTCAGAAAGAGTTCTGGCCTGGCTGGCATGGATCAGGGGCTGAGCATCGACCTATGAACCAGGAGCTCACGGTTCGGTTCCCGGTCAGGGCACATGCCCGGGTTGCAGGCTCGATCTCCAGTGTGGGGCAGGAGACAGCTGGTCAATGATTCTCTGTCATCATTGATGTTTTTCTCTCTCTCCCTCTCCTTTCCTCTCTGAAATCAATTTTTAAAAAGTTTTTTTTTAACAAAAAAAAACCAGTTCTGGTTCCAGGAGCCAGTGTTAACATTGTAAAGTGGATTGTTGGTTACTCACCTACCAGTTGACGGACATTTAGATTATTTCCATATCTTGGCTATTATGAGTAACGCTACAGTGTACCCGGGAGTAACGTGTGGTGTGCACACACACCGTGGAATATTACTCAGCCTTGAAAAAGGAGACCTTGCCATTTTGTGACAACGTGGATCCATTTGGAAGATGCTTGCTAAGTGAAATAAGCCAGACACTGAAAGACAAATATCACACGACCTCACTGATATGTGGAACCTAAAATAGTCAAATGTACAGAAGCAGAGAGTAGAATGCCAGGGGTGGTGAGGGGAGGAGAAATGGGGAGATGTTAGTCAAAGGGTGAAAAAGTTTCATTTTTGCAGGATGAGTACGTTGTGGGGGGTCGAATGGACAGCGTGGTGACCCTAGTTAACAAATACTGTATTGTGTGCTTGAAATTTGCTAGGAGGGTAGATCTTAAGTGTTCTCCACAGAAGGAGAGGGAGGAGGAGGGAACCAAGGGAATAGAATGTTAATTAGCTTGATTGCGGTGATCATTCCACAATGTATATATCAAAACATCAAGTTGTACACTGTCAATCATACCTCAGTAAAGCTGAAAAAAGGTTTAAGGGGGAAAAAGCAAGCTGAATATTCACAGCCACACAGACCAGCGGTGGAAAAGCACAGGCTACCCGCAGCCCGGGGCTCTTCGAAGCAACCAGAGGACCACCTGGTCTTTACTCCCCGCCCTGCCTCGCAGTCAGAGGTTGGCTTTGGCTAATTAAAACGGGGCGTCGGGAGACACTACGCGACTATGACTTCATAGATTCCCCTCTGGCAGGCGGGATCTCGCAGTGTTGGAGCTCTAGGGGGGACAGCAAAGGGGCCCTGGGAGGTGGAGAGGTTGGAAGTGCGCCGACCTGCTGTGCAGGCTGAGCTAGATGCTGTGCAGGCTGAGCTAGATGCTGTGCAGGCTGAGCTAGATGCTGTGCTGGCCGAGCTAGATGCTGGGCTGGCTGAGCTAGATGCTGGGCAGGCTGAACTGAGATGCTGGGCTGGCTGAACTGAGATGCTGGGCTGGCTGAGCTAGATGCTGGGCTGGCTGAGCTAGATTCTGGGCAGGCTGAACTGAGATGCTGGGCTGGCTGAGCTAGATGCTGGGCTGGCTGGGATGCGCAGGGGCAGGGGGGCAGGTCTCCGTCATGCCCTCCGGGGGACTCCGAGCCTCTTTGGCTCCGGGCCCCTCCCCTCTCCCTCCACCGGGCTCACAGCTTCCTTCGGAGCTGAGCCATCTAACTGGCATTTGGGAGAGAGGGGAAACCACAGGGAGGTCCCTTGAAGCTGCTTTGCCTCACATGCTTCGCGCCTTCTGCCTTCCTGCTTGCCTCCCAGGCTGCAGGGCTGCGGGCAGGTGGCCTGGGACTTGAACACCCAGCCCCAGAGCAAGCCCGTGAGGGGCCCCTCGGCAGCGATCATTCCTGGGGTCCCCGAGGCATGGAGCTGTGCCTTGCACCGCCAAGTCAGATGCTGCCGATGTCTGTTACATATGGTTATGCATCTTAACACCATGATTCTTGCTTTTTTTCAGGCAACCGATAACCAAAAACACCTTCAGGCAGTACCGAGTGCTGGGGAAGGGGGGCTTCGGGGAGGTGAGTGAGCACCCTGTTTCAGGTGACAGCTCCTGCACTCCAGTCCCCTTTCCTGTCCCTTCTGTCTGCCTGGTGTTCCCGTGTTGGCTGGGTCCTAGGCCCCCTGGTGGAGAGCGCGGGTCCCGGGGCCTTTGGGAGGGGCAGGTGTGTCTGCAGGGGGGAAGCAGGGTGCGGAGCAGCCCTCGCTGTCTGGGGCTGGGGGTGAGGCAGCCTCAGGTTCAGGTGCGGGGAGGAGAAACGGTGCTGCTCTTGGCTGTGTTTGGAGGGAGAAGTGAGGACACGAGGGGCCAGATGACACTGCTTTACGGGCTGTTGTTCTCTGTCTGAGCTTCCCAAGAGGGGGGCAGCCTGCGGACTCTCACTTGGAGGTGAGGAAGCGGAGGTTCCGAATGGTGAGGGGACCCGGCCACAAGGGGCAGAACGAAGACGAGAACCCAAATGCCCCGTTTCCCGTTCCTCTGAGTCATACACTCGGGGTTCTTGGGGGTCTCCTGTCCCTGGTCCCCAACAAGCATCTTCCGCCTGCAGCCAGCACTTGAACGTGCCCAGTGGGCAATGGCTGCCTCTGGTTGGAAGCTGAGGACAGGAAATGTAGTTGCCTCTGAGAGAGGCACGGACCTCAAGTCTCAGCGGCATCTACGCGTTGCTGAAAATGGCGCATTCTGCACCTCCAAGGCTGGGCTCCATCCCAGGGCCAGAGGAGGGAGGGCGAGGTGGCCAGAACTCGAGGGTGTGGCCCGGGGCAGCCATGGTCCAAGGCCAGGCCCGGCCGGCTCTGGCTCCATCCGTTCCCGACCCCTCGGCCCAGCGTCCTGGCCACGGAGGCGCTCAGCAGGCCTGTTGTGTCTCTCACCCGTGGTTCCTCCTTGCTCCGCAGGTCTGTGCCTGCCAGGTGCGGGCCACGGGGAAGATGTATGCCTGCAAGCGCTTGGAAAAGAAGAGGATCAAGAAGAGGAAAGGGGAGTCCATGGCCCTCAACGAGAAGCAGATCCTGGAGAAGGTCAACAGCCCGTTTGTGGTGAGTGTCCAGGGCTGAGTGACAGGCCACCTGCTGGTGACCGGGGCTTCTGTCCCTTGGGAAGCGGGTGGCCCTCCATTGTGGCAGCTCCCCATCGCCAGGGAGATGGAATGCAGCGGGAGGAATACCTGCCGAGAGGCAGCCAGGCCCCCCCTGCACCCCAACACGCCTCTGGGTCCTGGTGGCCGACGTCGTCCTGTCACAGAGCAGGCCTGGCTCCCCTGTGTGTGGGACCGAGGCCTCTGTCCTGCAGGACCACCTTGTACACTGCTCGGTGGACTGAAGAAGCCCACCTGGGCCCCGCCGGGAGCTTCGTGTCCACAGGCCCCTGTAGACCGGTTTCCTCCCAGCGGACACCTTAGTGTTGGTATCCTCAGAGGCGCCATCGTGTGCGCATCTGCTGTGCTTCTCAGTCTAGGCTTTGCTCTGCTGCAGTAACAAATACACCCCGACTCGCCGCAGCTGAAAACAACCAAGCCGTTCTTTTTTTATTTTTTGTATCTTTATATTTGTAGAGAGGAAAGGAGAGGAAAAGACAGAAACATCAATGATGAGAGAGAATCATTGATTTCGGGTTGCTTCCTGCACTCCCTCCACTGGGGATTGAGCCTGAAATCCGGGCCTGTGCCCTGACCTGGAATTGAACCACGACCTCCTGGTTCAGAGGTCGACACTCAACCACTGAGCCACACCGGCCGGGCCAACCAAGACGGTTCTGTCACTCACATGGAGTCCGGTCAGATCGGGCCCCCCTCTTCCTCCCTGCAGCTGCCCCGTCCGGAATAACGGAAGTGTGCGCAGGGGCGTGGGGGACGGTCACAGCCTCCCGCCCACAGCCCATGGGCCAGAGCTGGTCCCTGCGGGGCCCAGGCCAGCTGCGGAGAGATGTGGAGGAGCACGTGGACATACGGTCAGCTCTAAATGTCCGCCACCTGTCACCATAAAAAACAATATGTGCACAAGGTAAAAATTCCAACGGCACAGACGGAGACAGAGGAAAACCAGAAGGCTCCCTCTCTGAGGAACCGTTCCAACATGTTGGAATCATTACTTTTAGCCAATGGGATCTCACTAGACATCTTATGCTGCAATCTTTTTTCCCCTTTAAATGTAGATCTTTAAAAAAAGCAAAAAATCCAGACTTATAGCTGCACCTTTTTAAAAAAAAAAAACCAAAAAACTGTGCCCCCTTCCCTTGAGACATGGGAGAGTGAACCCTGGCCCGTGGGGCTGACCCCCACAGGGAGCGTCCTGGGGGTGAAGCCGCTGCGGATGAGGCTGAGCGTCCGCCCCTGAGCACCCCTGGCATGGCTCTGTGGACGTGTCCGGAGGCTGTGTGTCCGCCCCCGAGCACCCCTGGCATGGCTCTGTGGACGTGTCCGGAGGCTGAGCGTCCGCCCCTGAGCACCCCTGGCATGGCTCTGTGGACGTGTCCGGAGGCTGCATTCCTTGGCCGAGGAATGGCTGTGTCAGAGGGTGTGTGCGTTTTCCATTTGGTAGCTGTTCCCAACGGGCTCTCCATGCAGGTTGCCCAGTTAAACTCCTACCAGCTGTGCATGAGGCGAGGGAGGCCATCGGCCCAGGGCCTCCACCACTCTCCAGAGGGGGTGGCTTTATAAGGTGACACTCAAGGGACAGAGGTGTGGTCTCTGTCTCATCCCGCTGTCCCCACCGCCAGGATGACGTGCTGTGTGGGAGGTGGCGGTCATCATTTTGGCCGTGAGCCTCTGTGTCACTAGCGCCTTTCAATAGTGACCCCAGGTCACCGCCTCCAGGCTGCCCATGGAGCCCTCGGGGGCAGGGCTGGCTATGGGGTTGGTGATGGTGGGTCCCGCTCAGGGAAAGGGCCTTCCTCGATGGTGCCCCATCCTCTGCCCCTGGCAGGCTGTTCCCACGCTCTCCTCCCGGAGCCCTGCCTCGGGGTCACCTGGACAGGTGTGCGAACGACCCTTTCACAGGGGTCGCCTAAGACCATCGGAAAACACATATATAATTACATATTGTTTTTGTGATGAATCACTATGCTTTAATGATGTTCAATTTGTAACAATGAAAATACATCCTGCATATCAGATATTTACATGACGACTCATAACAGTAGTAAAATTACAGTTATGAAGTAGCAACGAAAATAATTTTATGGTTGGGGGTCACCACAACATGAGGAACCGTATTAAAGGGTCGCGGCATTAGGGAGGTTGAGAACCACTGGGCTAGATCCTCTCTGTGGATGGTCCCTCTGGCCAGGCGTGTCCTGTGTGCCAGAGAGGACAGTCTTGGCCAAGTCTTGTTCTGCTTCTCGAAGGCCCTAGGCTACCACCCAGCCCGCTGCCTGGCCCCTGCACTACGGGTGCCCGGAGGGCATCGGGGCCCTGCTTTTCTTGACCAGCCAACGGGGCCACTCAGTTTTGCCTGATGCACGCACATGCTTTTGTGGTGTAAACGCAAGAACACCATCCTGGCAGCACCCCTGAAAGGGCAGGGCCCCTCCCCTCGCCTCCTCACCTGGAACCACTGATGGGAAGGAGGGAGTCCTTCACCAGCTGAGAGGGGCAGCGGGCGGGGCGCGCCGAGGCTGTCGGGATTCGGGGGTGGCGTGAAGCCGCTGAAGCTCCCCTAGCCCAGCCGTCCCGCAGCTGCACGGGCCCTGAGAAGGGAGGGCGGAAGTGGGGGCGGTGGCAGGACCTCACCTCGGTGCTGTCCTCTGCTCCCAGGTCAACCTGGCCTATGCCTACGAGACCAAGGATGCGCTGTGCTTGGTCCTGACCATCATGAACGGGGGCGACCTGAAGTTCCACATCTACAACATGGGGAACCCCGGCTTCGAGGAGGAGCGGGCCCTGTTCTACGCCGCGGAGATCCTGTGCGGCCTGGAAGACCTGCACCTGGAGAACACCGTCTACAGGTGAGCGGGTCCCGCCTGGCCTTCCGCCTGCGTCTGAGTGGGTGGGGATCGGACCCGAGGCCTGATCATGGTCCTCGCAGGTGAGGGTGCAGACTCCCACTGAAACAGAGTAAGTGAGGTGGGCTGCTTAGGGGGCAAGTGCCCAGGAAAGCTCGGTGGAGCCTGTTGGCCGTGACCTGGACCAGCCTCAGGAAGACCTGGGGGGTGGCCACCACAAGCAGGCCTGCGTCCATCCACACCGCCTGACGTGGCAGGCCCAGGGTCCAGGTTCTGTGAGCAGCGCCCAGCGTGAGGCTCAGGGCCAACATGATGGCTGGTGCTCACCTGGACCACCGCCTCCCACACTGCCCGTCACCCTGGGCGGGGCTTGTCTCACGGCGTCCACGAAGCATCTTCACAATCTGAAGATGGACTTCTGAAACAGTCCACCGTCTGTTTAAATGGTGGCTGATCTGGATATTTTGGTATGGAAGTTACTTCACATTTTTAAAGGCATCCAGTGGAATCTCATTGCTGTAGCAAGTTGATTTCCACCATCGTCTATCTAAACATGCATAAAGCCCTTTAATGGTGAGGAACTTCCTATCATTTTCTATTCCCCACCTCTCTCATAAAATGTTATTATAATGTAATATATTTTTTGCCTAAGACTCTTTTATTGAAATATGTGGATACATGTAAGATTTTTTTTTAATTTCCTATGATCATAAGGCTCTACGTGTTCAAATCATTTCTTCTGTTGAGTTGCCGTTATAATTATTACGACTAGATCCCACTTCTGATGGGGCCCAGGGCTTTTTATACCTGGAGCAGGACCCCATAGTAATTCATTTTCAAGAGGGCCCAGAGCCTGCTTTTCTTGGGTCACTGGCAGAAGAGCTGTTGAGAAAGGGCAGGTAGGAGGGACCCCAGAGGAAGGAGGGTTTAGGGATCCAGAAACGCACATTCCTGAAAGTGCCGACAGGTGAGTGGACAGTCCCCAGCGACCCCGCTCCCACACACCCGCTCGCAGACCTGGGCCATGGCGCTCTGGGTGGAGATTACCTGGGGAGACGAAGAAGGCTTTGAAAACCAGGAGGGTGGTCTTGGTGCATTGCCTCCCGCCTCAACCATCTCCCCAGTTATGTGTTTGTTTGGTTTTCACTCAAGTGAGAAGGGAGTCGGAACAGTTTTCCTAAGGGTCAGAAAAAGAATCCCCCACCTGAGTGCCCTTCATTTACAAGAAGACGAGAAGGCAGCTCCGAGTCCAAGCCGGCCGCTCGCCTGGCCTCTCCTCCCGTGGGCTCGGGCCCTGCCCGCTGGCCAGCTGGCGTATGGAAGCCCTGGCTCTTGCCCTTATTTGGGATTGTTAACACATCAAAAGAATGCAAATTAAATAACAACAGCAACAAAATGTATTTTGTAATGAATAACTCCATACAAATACCAGTCAGCACTTTGGGGCCCACTGGACGGGCAGTCACCACGCCCGGGGACAGCTGCCGCCAGCTCCATAAACAAAGCCAGTTGGTGGAGAACCAACCCTCAGTCCAGAGCCGTGGACTGTTTGCCCAGCGGCTTACCTGAGCGGCACACGCCATCCTACTGGTCTACCCTTGGGGAGACCTTTTACTAGGAAAACCAGACAGTCCTGCTGCCTCTTCCCCCTCCTGGGAACTAACGGAGAGGTTCCCTCTCCTAAGAGCATGATGATGTCATCAAAGGGAAGACAGACACTGGGGTCGGGAGGAGGTGGCCACGCCTACAGCCGCGCCTTCCAGCCGGCCGTGCTTTCTTCCCACTGTAGCTCAGCTGGAGTTGGGGAGGTGCCAGGCTCCTGGGGGCCCCATTCCCAGGGGGTCTTTCTCCAGGGGGCACCTTCCTCTTCCCTGCAGTTCTCTGTGCCAGTTCTGCAGCTGGCGCTTTGTTCTCAAGTGTCTCTGCCTTTATTCCCAGGCCCTGCTCTGCCTTCCGGGCATCCTGAGACCTGGGGGGGAAAGGGGGGCGGTCTTCCCAGCCCTGGAGGGGTCTGTCACCACCCCAGCCAGCGGTATTCTCAGGCCTGGCGGCTGGCAGCGTGTGGAGGAGCCAGGACCAGCCTGTGCCTAACCTCCTTCCTATCACTCTCCAGCGCGGAGAAGATGCCTACGGCACAGGGTGGGAGGAGAGAGATCAGCCCAGAGACCAGACAACCCGATGTGGGAAGGGAACATTCAGGCCTGGCTGCCCATGAGGTCAGCCCAGACGCCGGGGTGCCCTTGCTGCCCAGATGCCCACACTCACATGCCTGTGGTCTTTCCCTTCCAGGGATCTGAAACCCGAGAATATCCTGCTAGATGATTACGGTAAGTCAGGGAGTGGCCGGGGAGGTCCTTTTCCTGCTCTAGCTGAGGTGAGCATCACAACCCAATGCAGAGGGCCTCTCGGAGACTCACCACCCTGGGCCCGCAGGGAGCAGTGGGCAGGGGGAGGGGAGGAGCCACTTCGCTCCTCAGCCCTGGGAACCCAGAGAGGACCGTGGGCATGGACAGAGCTCCTACGAGGAGAAGAAGCAACTTGGCTGGGCAGAGGGAGAGAGAGAGAGAGAGAGAGAGAGAGAGAGAGAGAGAGGTGGAGGGGAATGAGATGAGGTGTCCAGAATTTCAGAGACGTTGGGCACATACTGACCTCACACAATTTCTCTGCACTTCATCTTGTTTTTCAATGGAAACATGGGTCCTGCCAACGTAGAGGCTTGAAGATGGGGGTGAGGTTCTGACAAGATAGCTTGAGGGGAAGCTATTCAGTCAGCCACAGCCAGCGAAACATGTGTTCGCCATTAGTGTTCGTGCATCCCATTGTTACTGTCTCACACGGATGACAGGGCAGCCACGGGAACCCCTCCCAACTGTTAGCCTCTCACACTAAAGGGTGGGACACAGTTTCCTCATTTTCAGACTGACTAGATTTGCCCATCTCCACAGAGGGGGCAGGGCCAGCAGTCCCTGCGCCCATTTTACAGATGACAAGATGAAGGCTCAGAGGAGCCAAGCTGCCAGGGTCACCCAGCAATATCCGTGGGGAGCCGGGATCAGAGGCCAGGTCTCCTCAGTGTGTTGATGGCCTGGCGATGCTGCCATGGGAGCAGCAGGCAGAGGGTCCCGGGCCTCGCTGCCCCTCTCGGATGAGCCCAGTGCCCGCTGGGGTTCCTATCCTTCTGGTCTCAGAGCCACGCCCACCTCTGACCTGCATCCCCGTGAGGTGAATCCACGTGCTCCCTCTACCTTTCCTGCCTTTGTCTGGGGCCAGAGCTGGGGCCTCACACAGCTCCGACCTGGCCGGGGTCCCTGTCACTGGGCCTTGCTCAGGTCCAGGCTGTGGGGGCCCCGGCACTCACCCATGGGGGAGGGGGAGTGGTCCTGCCTGCAGGGTCGTGTGTGGCTGTGATGTCCCCCTTGTCCCTGGTGGGGGCCACCAGGGGAGACAACACAGAGGCTGACCTCAGCACCGTCGTCTCTGCTTTGGGGGTTCAGTCTGGGACCAGGGGCTCCAATCCATCTCCCAGTCTCCAGGGGCCTGGGCGTCGTCCCATCTTGTTTTTCCAAAGGGAGAAAACAACCTCCAAAGACCATCTCAGCAGGACGGGAAGTTGCTTCCCAAATTGCTTTATAATTTTTCCCCTTAAGCAAATTGTTGCAAAATGTCAGGAGAATCTCACATTTTTTCCGTGAAGCAATCCCGGAATCCGGCCAAGGCATGTGAAACCCGCTGACCTCAGCCTTCCAAGGAGCCCATTAGCGCGTTGCATGAGGCAGGTTGCCCGCGTCCAGCCAAGTGCAGGCGGCCCCGCATCTGACACCTGAGTCTCCCCGGGGTCTGCAGTTGCCCTGAGACAGTAGATCGGGGTCCCCCTCTTCCTGCCCGGGGGCACGCCGCAAGTCTAAGGCCCTGCCCAGGGTGGTCCAGTGTCACATGACCGTCCCAGGGTCCCGCTGACCCTGCCCTTCCCCCTCAGGCCACATTAGGATCTCCGACCTGGGCCTGGCCGTGAAGATCCCCGAGGGAGACCTGATCCGAGGCCGGGTGGGCACCGTCGGCTACATGGGTGAGTGTGGGCGCGGCCCCCTCCCCCGGGCCCCCCACGTGAATCCCTGGCCTCATTGTGCCACTCTGATCAGAAATAGGGTCCCTTCTGATGGTGGGAGGTGGGCGGTCTTAGCCAGGCTGCATGGAGCCCCAGGTGTGACTGGACTAAACCCAGTTCTCTGCAACCCCCACCTCCAGCCCACCTGCGTCTAAAGCCAGTCCACTTCGGGGTCAGTGGCCAGGCTGGCACACAGCGATGCTCAGGAGGAGGCCCCGTTGAAGTCAGGGTCCAGTGGCTGGTGGACAGCCTTTTGGGGAGACCCCTGACAGGAGGGAGGCCATGAGGGTGCCAAGCATGACTCTAAGCAGAGAGCAGCCTGGGGCCCTGCCCTGCCCGTCCCCTGAGCCGACTCCCAACCATCCTCCTGGGGCTGCAGGGAAGAGGCCTAGAGCTACATCCAGTCCCTGGCACCTGCTTCCAGTTAGGGAGGAGGAGGCTGGACCCGGCTGGCATGAGTCACAGCCCAAGCTGGGCTCTGCTGCCACCAGCGGCCTCTCACCTCGCTCGCTCCCTCCTCGCCCAGCTCCCGAAGTCCTGAACAACCAGAGGTACGGCCTGAGCCCCGACTACTGGGGTCTGGGCTGCCTCCTCTACGAGATGATCGAGGGCCAGTCACCGTTCCGGGGGCGCAAGGAGAAGGTGAAACGGGAGGAGGTGGACCGCCGGGTCCTGGAGACGGAGGAGGTGTACTCCCACAAGTTCTCCGAGGAGGCCAAGTCCATCTGTAAAATGGTGAGCTCCCGGGCCCGCTGTCCTCGCCCCGGGCTGGGCCACTTCCTCTGCGGCCCCAGCCTGACCTCTGCGGCCCCAGCCTGACGTCAGAGCCCTGGGAAGGAAGATGGGGCTGGGCCTGCCACCTGTCGTTTGCATGTGGGACACTCAGGGAGGGGCAGCATGCACACATGCAAACACACACCGGAACCGCCTGTGGCTGGGCTCCTGCCCACCTGCCCGGGCCTCCAAGGAAACAGGTGGCCATGGCCGTGGAGGTGGGTGGGGGACCGGAGGAGCGAGGCGGCACAAGGCGGTCAGCAGGGACGTGGGCTCCCAGGGATGCTGGAAAACCCGGCTGGTGTGCTAACAAGACTGGGTTCTGTCAGGCGAGGTCTGTATGCAGCGGCACCACACTGGGTGAGGGATAGCGGAGGGCAGCACCACGTGTCCCAGGTCGGGGTTCAGAGAAGCAGGTCTGGAGAGACCCCCCAACAGGGGCGTGGGATGTGCTGAGAGGGCAGAGGCACAGAGGGCCCCTCCCTGCCGGCATCGTGGGCTTTGGCACATGGCTTTGGGGCACCAGCACTGGGCGCTTCTGTTTCTCTGCTGCCCCCTGGTGTGCACTGAGAGAAAGGCAGCGGCCACGCCTGGGGATCCTGGTGTCAAACCCATGTCCCTCACCTTCTGTAACTGGAAGGATGACCAGAGGCCTTGCTCCGTCATCTGACAAATGACCCTGTGCTTCTTCTGTGTCCTTAACCGCGTCTCTCTGGTCTGGCAGCCAGGCCGGCCCTGTCCCCTCCAGGCACCAGCTCAGGACACAGTAGGGCCTGACTAGAAGGAGAACACGGAGCCCCGGGCAAGTCCAGGCCCACCTGCCTGCCTGAGAAGGAAGGCCTCTCCACAAACAGCCAGGAAGCTGGTCCCTGACCCAGATTCTGTCCTTCATTCGGTCTTGGCGGCCACAAGACCTTTCCCTGCTCCTGGGGTCCAGACATGCATGCATCTCACTGCCCCCCCACCCACCCCGGTCCTGTCTCTAGGCCAGTCCTCAGCCCCACCTTCCTTAGGCCCCTGCTGAGTCCCAGCACTGGTCCCTCCCCTCCCCTCCGGCTCCCGTCCTCTGGCCCCTCGGCCTCCCTGACCCCCAAGTGAGCAGCTAACTTGCGTTCCTCTGACCCCATGTGTTACATCCATGGTGCCTCCAACTCTAAACATGATCTCGCTGAGGCCAAACCCTCAGTGCCCTCTCCCCCTCCCTCCCTCCCTCCCTCTTCCCCTCCCCCCTCCCTCCCTCCCTCCCTCTCTGTCCTCCTTCCTTTCTTTCTCCCTCACCCGCCCCCAGGGGTTTGCACTTGTGAGTTGAGTAAATGAACCAGAGACTGAGTCCTTGCCCTTTGTCAGTTCCCTGTGGCAGAAGGTCACCCCAGTTCAGCAAGCGTCAGTGGGTGCCCCGAATTCACAGGTGCTGGGCATGTGGTCCCGGGGAGACACAGACAGGAGTCTTGCTCCCCCGGGGGCTCCAGGCATCCGGTGCTGTGAACTCGGGACCACAGAGCCCACAGCGGCTCAGGAGGCGCTGAAGCGAGGCCTGAGCAGGGCTGGGCGGTGTCTGTCGGGCACCTGGGTGGCACAGGCTGGAGGAGGGGCACCGGGGAGTCCCAGGGACTCCCCGTGAGGGAGATGACCACAGGCCTGACCTGCGGGAGCGACAAGGCTCCAGGCGTGGCCTCACGGGGCTCTGTGTTGTCACAGCTGCTCACCAAAGACGCGAAGCAGAGGCTGGGCTGTCAGGAGGAGGGGGCCGCGGAGGTCAAGAGGCACCCCTTCTTCAGGAACATGAACTTCAAGCGCTTGGAAGCCGGGATGTTGGACCCGCCCTTCATTCCAGATGTGAGTAGCCCCCCCAGCCCAGACGGAGCCTGCGCCCTGTTCCCAGCCTGGCACTCACCGAATGTCGGTTCCGGGCCTCGTACCGGGGCCGAGGAGACCCGTGGGCAGGCGGCGGCCTCTGCCCTCCGGTGACAGACACGTCACCAGGGCTGGGGGCCCTGCATCCATCCTGGAGTCGCCGCCTCCATGAAGTCCTCATCCTCAGACCTACAGGCCCCAGAGCCCCTGGGAGGCTCAGTCCCAGCTTTGAGTTCCTGGAGGGGAAGGCCTGCCTGAGTCGTCTCTGTGGGTCTCAGCAGAGAGCAGCCCCCAGTGCGTGGCGGGGGGAGTGAGATAAAGAGATTCCCGCCAGCTCACGCGCGCTTACAGCCCAGGCACAGGTGCTCCCATAGCCCGGCCTGCAGGTGGGACACAGGCCTGTGGGACGTGGGACTTTTCCAAAATTCCTAAGCACCAGCGCTGGGACCCAGCCCGGCCCGCTGGCTGCAGAGCCCGGGTGCCCAGCCCCTTGGTGCCCCGTAATGTGAGAGGGGGTGGGGAGGCCCCCCCCGGAGGCGTCCGTGGCTGCGTGTTCCTCGGGCCTGGCCCTGGGAACCAGCATTCGCTCTCTATGGCGGGTGGCCCAGAGCCCCAAACAGAAAGGACTTTGGAAACAGTTTCCCCGTCCCAGTCCTGGGCCCTTTGGGGAACAAAGACTGTGTGATGGAGGAGTGGGCTGCAGGGCGCTGAGGAAGGTGAGCTCAGGGATGGGGTGACCGGCATGTGAGGCCTGAGGGCAGCAGGGCCCTGGACACGCTGAGCTCCAGGTTCCCGGTGGGGGTGGGGGGCTCAGGCAGATGCCCCCTGCTTCCCCCATCAAAGCCCCAGGCCTGGCTGGGGACGGTGGCGCCGGGGCAGGGCCCGTGTGACCGCTCGCTCGCTCTGCCCCAGCCGGGGCGGGGCCCGTGTGACCGCTCGCTCGCTCTGCCTCAGCCCCGGGCCGTGTACTGTAAGGACGTGCTGGACATTGAGCAGTTCTCCACCGTGAAGGGCGTCAACCTGGACCACACGGACGACGACTTCTACTCCAAGTTCTCCACGGGCTCCGTGCCCATCCCCTGGCAGAACGAGGTCAGCGCTGGGCGGCCGCCTCGCCGCTGGGGAAGGTGCGGGGAGGGCGCAGGGACGGCGGGGTCAGGGTCCCGCGGTCTGCTGGCATCATGGGTGGGTCAGAGGGAAGAGGAAGCCAGTTAGACGACTCGAGAAGTTCGGCTGGGAAGGGAGGAAATGGAGCCGGGGCACAGGCACAAGGGGGATGGAGGTGGAGGCAGAGTTGGATCAAATGAGATTGAAATGATGGGGCCGGGGAGGGGCTGGAACCCTGGGAGGGGAGGGTCCGGAGCATGTGGGTGGCCTGGGCTGGGGTCGGGTGAGGAGGAGATGGCTGTGGGTTTGGGGTGCCGACTTCTGCTTTCTCAGGGGAGAGGCAGGCGGGCACCGTCTGGGTCTCAGCCCCTGAAGACGGAGGGTGGTGTGGGCCAGGCTCGG